GTGATATTAGGGTCTATTATTCTGATATTATTGTGATATTTTGAAACTAATAGGCAACTTAAAGCATCAATAGTATGCCTAATATCTCAGAATACACCTAATACTATCAAATGATAGTATGCCTAAATAACAAAAGCATTAAATACTGAATAACCCGTGTGCCTAATATCTAAGAATATGTCCAATAGTATTGATCAATAATCTGCCTAAATAACAAAACCATTTAATGACCAAAAAAAGAAAAAAAAAGCATTTAATACTATTGGTATACCAATTTAGTCCACATAAGCTATAACAGTCAAAAAAAGAAAAAAAACGGTCACTAATTGTTTCCAACCCAAAATGTCAAATTTTACATGGCATGACATAGAATGGTAGCAAAAGAGTTTGCTGTCAAATTTGACAGCAGCTTCAAATTTTTTTACTAATTATTAAATGTCTTTTATTAATATTTTAATGTCATTCATTATTTGATTGTTGAACGGTTTTCTTATCTTTCTCTTCTTTCTTTGTCTTTCTCCCTGTCTGTGAGTTTGTGACCATACAAAGATAGTCACTGGGCAGCTCACCGTCAAAGCTCCACCAGCCCCACGGCGAACCCAAGGACCAGACTCTCACTGTCGATGACTCCCCCAACCACATTAGGGATCTTTTAGCCTTTTCCACCACCGCTTCTTCCTCATCCTCTTCAATCTCTGCAGCCTATGAAGACGACGAGGACCACAAAGCATCAAAGCCTCATCGTCTGTCATCACCACCATTGCACCGCACAAATCCATCCATGTCATCCTGGTCCTCACCCTCCTCTGCTTCCTCATCCTCTTCCTCTTCTCCCACGTCCCCTCCCAATCAGGTACACTCTTAATTAATTAACGGCTCTTCGCTCATCTTTTCCTCATTTGAATCCCAATCCTGACCATCCCTTTTGTTCCATTTCAGATTTGGCTCAGTTCAATGGCTTCACTAAACTGCCTGGATCGGTGAAGCACGTAGGTACGCAATGCAGATGGAAATCATTCACAATCTCTCAATCCTGATTGTCGGGTGGAGATTTAAGGAAAAATAATAATGTAATAAAATAATAGTTTAAAGTATAAGACATAAATTAAGAAAAAATAATAATGTAATAAAATAATAGTTTAATTTGACATATCGGGTGGAGAGCAAAACATGAAAATATGTCAAAATGCCACATAAACTGTCAAATTTAAATTTTAGGTTAAAAATTTGAGGAGATGATCTAAGACATATATACCAATAGTATATATATTGCATGATTCAATGAGTTTAGATGGGGGAGCTAGGATTTGAGCGACAGGGTTGGTGTGGAGATTCATTCGAGCTAAAGACGGGTTAATTTGGATTAAAATAAAGGTCCTACTAGTTCTTCTTCTTGTGAATCTAGGGTTTATTACTTCTTGGGATAAGAAAGGAGGGGATTTGCTAATTAGGGTTTCGATAATTACGAAAGTAGAGGGAAAATGTAAAGTGGTTGATTGGGCTAAAATAATTGTAGGGATTTCAAGTCTAGGGAAGCTAATTAGACATATGCTTTCTCCTCCCGGTTGGTTTTGTATTGTCCCAAGGATTAATGATTTTGTTCCTTGGTATATTGAAAGGCTTAATCTGGGGAAGTCCTTGTTGGGGTTTAAAAATGCTTCACTACTTTGGAGATGTTTATCTCACAAAGAAGAATGTAATGTAGTGGAATTTAATAGGCAAGAGAAAGAAAGAATACTCAAAGTATTACACAAGAATTTTTTTTTTTATTCACTCACAAACTTAGTACAAGAGGAAACACTTAAACACTCTTAGAAGCTTTGTTGCTTCTTTTCACTTCTCACTTGGCACTCTCACTTCTCACTAATTGCTCTCTTGGTTGTTACAAATAGTATGGATGCCTTGTCCTTTTATAGGCATGGATGGAACCTTGGAGAAGCATGGAAGCATCATGCTAGAGATATCTAGATAATTCCACTACCTTCCTAAGCTAGAATTATCTACACTAATCTTGTACGTTGGTGGAATCCTCACCATTCTTCTAGACTCTTCCACCAACTTGAACTTTGGTAGAATTCTCTAGCATGTGCATGGATCTTTCTTTGTGTATGGGCCGAATCAATTATCTTTGGGCCAAGACAAGATTACAATTCCACATCCCCCCTTAATCTTGTCTTGTGACGCCAATTGGGTTTCTTAGTCTGACAAAGTCTTCTTGTTTGAGTGGCTTGGTGAATATGTAGGCAACTTGGTCTTGAGACTTCACGTATTCCATTTGCACATTCTTTCTTGCAATGCACTCTCTTAAGAAATGATAACGGGTATCTATATGTTTGCTCCTGTCATGGAATACTGGATTCTTTGCTAGAGTTATTGTAGACTTGTTGTTGACATAGATCTTTGTTGGCTCTTCTTGTCGCATGCTTAATTCTTTCAGCAAGTTTTTCAGCCAAATTGCATGGCAAACGCATGCAGTGGCCGCTACGTATTCAACTTCACAGGTAAATAGTGTGACAGCAGGTTGCTTCTTCGACATCCATGTGAATGCAGTGTCTCCTATGAAGAACACAAATCCAGTAGTGCTTTTTCTATCATCAGAATCTCCTGCCCATTCACTGTCGTTGTATCCAACAAGTTTGTAGTTATCAGAACTTGAATAGAACAAGCCAAAGTTAATAGTACCTTTAAGGTAACGAAGAATTTTTTTGGCCGTTTTCAAATGTGTAGTTGTGGGATTCTCCATGTGGCAACTAACTAATCCGACGACATAAAGAATATCTGGTATTGTGCAAGACAAGTGGTGCAAGCTTCCAACTAGACTTTTGAAAAATGTTGGATCTACGCTTTCTCCTTTGTCATGCTTGGTTAGTTTGACTCTGCACTCCATTGGCGTGCTTACAGCTTGCAGTCATCCATTTTGAACTTTTTCAGTATCTCCTTTGTGTAGCTTTCTTGGGAGATGAAAATGCCTTCTTCGTTCCACTTGACTTCAATGCCTAGGTAGTATGCCATCAACCCGATGTCGGTCATCTCAAATTCTTTGGTCATTACTCTCTTGAACTCTTCAAACATGCTTGGATTACTCCCGGTGAAGATTAGATCATCCATATATAAACACACAATCAAAATATCTCCATCTTTGACTTTGACATAGAAAGCATGTTCATGAAGGCACTTGATGAAGCTGTTCTCCTAGAAGTACTTGTCGATGCGGCTATTCCATGCTCATGGCGCTTGTTTTAATCCATAGAGGGCTTTTTTCAGCTTCAGAACTTTGTCTTCATGCCCTTTGATTTCATAGCCTGACAGTTGCTGAATGTAGACTTCTTCTTCAAAGACTCCATTTAGGAAGGCGGACTTCACATCTATTTGTTGAATCTTCCAACTGTTTTGAGCTACCAAAGAAATTAGTAATAGTATAGTTTCCAAACGAGTAATGGGTGCAAATACCTCATCATAGTCGATTTTGGCTCTTTGACTATAGCCCTTCGCCATTAGTTTTGCCTTGTATCCTTCGACCTCTCCATTGGCATTTTTCTTTATCTTGTACACCCACTTGACTCCGATGGCTTTGTGTCATTTCGGAAGAATAGCGAGTTTCCATGTATCATTCTTCTGGATTGCTTTGATTTCTTCATCCATTGCTTTCCTCCACTTAGTATCTTCCACTGCTTCTTGGAAGTCGACTGGTTCACAATCAGCAAAAAGACAGAAAAGTGTAAGATTATCAAGTCTTTCAGCTACCTCATAAAGATCTCGTATACTTCTTGTGCGTGGTACTTCTCTTTCATTTAGACTCTCACTTGACAATGCTGATGCTGGTGAATTGCCATGATTGGTTGATATTGGTGAAGCAAGTGGAGTAGTGGATTCTTGTTGAACCTTTATTACTTGCTTCATCATCCCTTATTCATTATCTTCTTCAAACTGAGGAAAGAAGTGAAGATCACCTGCATGCAAGCCAAAATCCCATTCTTTTTCTTCATCGAACGTCACGTCTTGATTGATTACCGTCTTCCCATTGTTTGGATTATACAGCTTATAGCCTTTTGAATTTGTGTCATAGCCGATGAAGATGAACTTCTCACTTTTTTCGTCGAGTTTGGTTATCCTCTCGTCTGGTACATGTACATGGGCTATGCTTCCAAAAACTCTTAGATGAGAGATACTTGGTTTTCTTCCACTCCATATTTCTTGCGGAGTTTTTCCCTACACACTTCTTGTTGGAGACCGATTAGATAGGTAGACAACACATGCTACAGCTTTTGCCTACAATTCCTTAGGCAATTTCTTGCTTTTGAGCATGCTTTGAGCCATGTCGAGGATGGTTCGATTTTTTCTTTCCGCCACACCATTTTGTTGAGAGGATCTTGGAACTGTCAAAGGTCAACGAATTCCATTTGCTTCACAAAACTCTTGGAATTCCTTCGAAGTGAATTCTCCTCCTCGATCAGATCTCATGCTTTGATCTTGCAACCACTCTCTTTTTCTACAACAGTTTTGAACTTCTTGAATGCTCCAAATACCTATGATTTCTACTTCAAGAAATACACCCAGGTTTTCCTTGAAATATCATCAATGAAGAGAAGGAAATAATTATTTTTAGCCAAAAAGCTTCGTTTTATTAGACTGCACACATTGGTGTGAATGAGCTTGAGTGGTTTCTGGGCTCTTGTGGTCGACTCCTTTGGAAAGATTTTCTTGAACTGTTTCCCAAGTAAACATCTTTCACAAACTTGATCAGGGTGACTGATGCACGGTAAGCCTCTCACCATCTCCTTCTTAGATAATAACTCCAGTCCCCCAAAGTTAAGATGCCCAAAACGAAGATGCCAAAGCTAAGATATGTCTTTGTGACATATCTTGAGACACTTTGCAACATCGTTTAATGTTCATGGGAAGCATCCTATTCTTTGACATTTTCGCCTTGGCAATTAATCTTCCTTTGTCATCTCTAAGAAAAAGGATATAATTTTTCGTATGAAAATCATAACCTTTTTCTAAGAGTAAATGTTGCTATTCATATTGGGCACGTAGTAGACATTTGAAATTAATTGGTGACCGCCATTTTTCAGGGGAATAAGGATGTTACCTTTTCCTTTTACGGGTATTTTGGATTCGTCTCCAAAAGAAACGTTGTCATTCACTGATTCATTGAGCTCTACGAAGATGCTTATTCTTCCGCACATGTGGTTGCTAGCGTCGGTGTCAAGGTACCAAGTATAGTCTTGGTCTCCATCATTGTTCTTGCATGCTAGTAGCACAACGCCATTCTCTTCTTTCTCTTCTTTCACATAATTGACCTTCTCATCAAGTCTGCTGTTTAGAGCTCTACATTCCCAAGCATAATGCCCAAAATTTTGACAATTATAGCATTGAACTTGAGATTTTTCATACCTTAAGTTTGAGCATCCTCTTCCACTACCTTTTGTTGAGCTTCCTCCTCTTTTGTAGTTGCTATGGTTGTTGAACTTCCAACCACGTCCATGTCCACGTCTGCAACCTCGGCCACGACTTCTTTCATAGTGGCTTCTCTCGTTGTCGAAGCTTTCTTCTTTCTTCTTTGACTGAACATGTGTCTTAAGGAGCTGTTCATCATTCGCTTGCCTCTTCTTATGTTTCTCTTCATATGCTTGTAGAAAACCCATTAATTGCTCTATACTAATTTCTTCCAAGTTTTTAGTTTCTTCAATCGTCACGACAATGTTCTCGAACATGGGGTCCAACGAGCGTAGTATCTACTCCATAATTCTAACATCTTCTAACTTTTCTCTGTTTCTTTTTAATTGATTGGAAATGGCTAAAACTCTTGAGAAATAATCAGAGATTAATTCAGACTCATTTGTAGAGATTCGAACTCACCCCTTAATACTTGAAGACGAACCTTTTTCACTTGGTCAGCTCCTTTGTAAGAGGTTTGAAGCTTCTCCCAAGCTTGCTTGGCAAAGGTTGCACTCGAGACCTTCTCAAATCCATTGTCATCTAATGCTTGGTAGATGAGGTAGAGAGCCTTCTTGTCTCTCTTTCTTGAATCTTTCAAACTCTCCTTCTGGGGTTGAGACAGAGTAGCTTCATCTTCTGGCTCAGTGTAGCCTTTCTCCACGATTTCCTAGACATCGTGTGCACCCAAAAGGGCCTTCATTTTGATACTCCAATTATTGAAGTTGTTGTTGTCAAGCACTGGAATTTGGAAGGCTAGCCATAGCTCTGATACCACTTTGTTGGGGTTTAAAAATGCTTCACTACTTTGGAGATGTTTATCTCACAAAGAAGAATGTAATGCAGTGGAATTTAATAGGTAAGAGAAAGAAAGAATACTCAAAGTATTACACAAGATTTTTTTTTATTCACTCACAAACTTAGTACAAGAGGAAACACTCAAACACTCTTAGAAGCTTTGTTGCTTCTTCTCACTTCTCACTTGGCACTCTCACTTCTCACTAATTGTTCTCTTGGTTGTTACAAATGGTGTGGATGCCTTCTCCTTTTATAGGCATGGATGGAACCTTGGAGAAGCATGGAAGCATCATGCTAGAGATATCTAGATAATTCCACTACCTTCCTAAGCTAGAATTATCTACACTAATCTTGTATATTGATGGAATTCTCACCGTTCTTCTAGACTCTTCCACCAACTTGAACTTTGCTAGAATTCTCTAGCATGTGCATGGATCTTTCTTTGTATATGAGCCGGATCAATTATCTTTGGGCCAAGATAAGATTATAATTCAACAGTCCTTAGGTCTAAAATTGACTAGCCTCTGTATACTTGGTTTGTTGGATTCTATATATGTGATTTGTTGCAAGATTTGGATTGCACTGGTTTCATCGTCACGTGGATTAATCTGCTGTTGTTTTGGCTGAGATGGGGTAGAATTCTGACAAAAAGTTTGAGTATTAACTTTGTTTTTTGGAATTCTCTCCGCGCTTTTCTTGCTTGTGAGTGTTGTTTGGCATCCCATGCTACGTTGGGTGCTGGTTTGTGTGAGCAGGAGGTAAGCTCTTCGAATGCTAAATATTTTATTATTAGTGGTTTATTATATAATCTCTTTAATATTAGGGAGACTAAGGGTCGATGGCTTGATGAGAGTCTTAGTTGCTTTATCGACCCTCTTGAAACTATAAATGTGTGTAGCATGGATAATTACGATTGTAAGTATAACTCGAGTTTTGATAATGATGATTGCTATGTCTGTCGCAATGAACTAAACCGGGAGGTCAATATGTCAAGTGTGACGAAGAATGCAGTTGAAGCTGGTGGAAGTTCTGGGAATTTAGTTACTGCCTTGTTGGCTGCAGAAGAGGATTCTACTACTATGTACAAGTCCAAAAGTTGGACAGTTGAGTCCAAGAATTAGTCCAATGAAGAGGCTTTGTGAGGAGATTGCTGAAGAGGCGGGTTCTAGTGGGTTCTTGGAAGAATTAGACTGATGAAGTGTGTGGTGTGGAACCGTGGGGGGCTGGGTAAGCCTTATTTTTCAACTTAAATTTAATTTGCAGTAGTAGGGAGCAGGACTTTTTCGGTTTATTGGAAACCACAGTGCCTTGCATAAGTCCGGCAAGGTTTTATGAAAAGTATTTTGATCATGCTTTGTGTTGTGACCCAGTTGGTAGGGCTGGGGGAACATGTTCAATAGACCCAAATAATTAATTCAGTACTATTAACAATTAATTATATCTTCTCACCATCCATGTAACGTTGTTAGTACTATAATAGGTATGGGACCTCTTAGGCTCTTATTATAGCTGGCAATAAAATTAATTTGATTTTAAAAGCCATAAGTGGCACCTATTAGCATTCATGATTACCCGAATAAGATAGAGTGTTAACTAATTATGATACTTTTTTGAACCTTGATTGTAGTTACAGTGCAATTCGATTTTTTTATCATCCATATCCTGATCAAGATTTATGTGATATGGAATAATGTCAAAACATGTGTAAATATCTTTGATCACCATGATGCATCTCATGTTGAAACAGTTCTTATAAACATAGTTTGATCAACAAGTAATTTGGCCGAAGAATTCTGAGATGGATCTTCAAGTGACATCAAGGGATATTTCTTTCTATTGAACAATTACTAGAAGGTGATAGATCCCTTATTGCGCATTCATATATCTCCATAATCATACATATGAACCCAAGCAACACACTATCAGGCCCTGCGCAATAGTGAGGGCGTTAAGGTGAAGTCAAAGTTCATATCTATAAGCACAAGATATCCGATCTAAGAACTATTTGCATACTACAACCTGAAACTTTGTAGCTATTAACATGTCGTAACCATCCATACGTTTAAACTTCTTGGGTGGTCACTGTTCACTAAACTATGAACTTTGTTTAAGGACGAAGTGACTATAAAATACAAGTCTCTTTGCCCTAACCTTGTTTAGGACATTATTTTCATACCTTAAATCATATAAACTCATTCATAGTATATTACCCCTATAATGTAAAAGCATAAACTCAAGAATGAATTAAAATTGCCCTATTATTAATTATTTAAAATGAAATTGTTATGTAATATTCAATATTACAAAATTAGGTTTTAGGACACAACTCCCGACAAGAACTTCACCCAAAAAAATGTCATTACAAGACAAATTTCTTCAAATTAACATCAAACATTTCAGAAGATGACAATATAGGTTCCTGCACACAACCACATTAAGTAAATTTAGCAACTAAGACAATTTCTTAGTTTGACACTAGTGAGATGTATGCACTTTTTTTTTTTTTTTTTTTTTTTTTACCGAAGTAAGATATATGCATTTAAGCATCCAATCCAATTGGCATTGTATGGAGAGGACCAACATCTTTTAAGAACTTATGCTAAAGTTTCATCCTTCCACATAGAATACTCTCGACAAAACAAAACTAGTGTTATTACAATGTGCACTCATGATTCAGAGCCTGGATGTTACTGTTTGGTATATCAACTTTGATAAGAACTGAATGAGCTTTGTAGTCAACATGCATGTCACATATGGTACACCTATATGTAAGAAAAAAAAAAAGTGAAGATCGAACCCATTTGATTTAACATGTTGCATGAAGTGAAAGCAAACCTGTATGGTTTTGCGTCGAAGTACAGTTCTCAAGAATCTTGAGTTAGTCCATCTTTCGCTGTTAATCTTTTTAATGTAATTTACCATCTCGTCGAGCAAAACTCCATATGTTATGTCGGTCTTGTTCCTAACAGTGTCAGTGAGAAGGTATGTCATTGCACCATTCATTACTTTTCCAGAAAAATCCTGCATTTGTGATTAATACTATATTATATTGGCTCACATGAAAATGAAGTAAAAAAAGAAAAGGGGAATGTTGAACGGTTTAGAGAATGTTCAACTCCAGCAAGGCTTTATGACAAGGAATGTTGAACGGTCAAACATCAACACATGTAAAAATGAGTGTAGCAGATATGAGAATGTTTTGTTAGATGTGTGAGCACAAGAAAAAGGATAAGATTAAAAACACAGACATCTGAGGTAAAATAGGAGGGACCGCAACTAAAGATAAGAAAAGAGAAAATCGGTGAATGTGGTTTGGATATGTTAAATGCAGACCTCCATATGCTCTGGTTCGAAAATACGATTATGAGAAAGAAGCTCAAAGGAAAAAGTTTAAAGGAAGACCTAGGAAGACTTGAACATAGACTTTAAGAAAAGACGTGGAGTACTTAGAGCTAATGGAGACTTGGGCAAAACCGAGCCCAATAGCGTTCTCAGATTCAAATAACTGACCCCACTTAGTAGAATAAGGCTTTGTTGTTGGTATTGTATTATTGAACGGTTTAGAAAGGCCTTATTAAAGAAAACGTATGCCTTCCAATCCCATCATTTAGTGGAGATAAGAAGGGATAGGTTTTCTTTCCCTCCTTACCAACTAACATCTAGCTTCAATTTGGAAACATTCAGAAGTTGGCTTTTCATCATATTTTCCTTAAACACAATAATAGAGGGATCACTTACAGTAGTATCAATTGCCATTTTATCATCTTCGCAAGCACTAAGAGAAATCGCTAACCCACCCCTTGTACTTTTTCTAGCACGAGATGGAGGAATATTATCCTTCCAAGCATTCCTGCAAATTAACACGTAAAAAGAAAACGTATTTTCACAGTTGAAGGAGAATTTTTATAGAGTTATGGTGAGATTACATTGCATGCTGCTATGGCATGGACAGTATTAACTCTTCAACTATGGATTTGATGCCCATGATATCTAAATTGTGAAACTTTAATCACATTTATAATACGTGGCATTATATTCTCATAATATATAAATTTGATGTCACAGATTGAACGTATGTAATCATATAAATTTGAAGTTAAAGACTAAGTAAATATACTCACAGTTTACGGTCATACATGTGCTCCAGATCAAGATTTGTTCCACTGTGACAAGCATCAACGATAGCGTGAAGTGTGACACCCTCCTCGAGTGGCCAAACAATGGTTTCATTAATATCATTGTCAAGGATCATTCCCTCTTCCATAAAATCAACAGGGCAAATGGTCTCGTCGAACCCATCAAGCTCATCATCTTTGAAATCAGGCTGTCGTAAGCCATGCCCCGAGAAGTAAAACACCAACGAGTCTCCCTGCTGGTATCCCTCCACAAGCCATTTCAAGGAATTTTCTATATTTTTCTTTGTAGGAATCCGCTCTAGGTCACGCGGATCATCTTCTGCATTCATTGGTAAATTGAAAACGTAAACATATTATCTTATAAAGCACAAATAATGTCATAGCCCACTCTCCAGCAAGATAATATCCACTTTGAGCAAGGCCTAAACGGTTTTGTTCGTGGGTCTCCATACCCAAAAAACATCTTGCTACGAGAGATCAGATATGAGCTTATAAACTACATTACATTTCCTCCCCCAAGCGATGTGAAAGTTTGATGCCAACGCAGGGTCACGACAAATAACCACTACCTTCATCTTTTACCCCTTTTTCTTTCTCGATTCATTTTTTATGATTGGCTTCTCTTTTAACGTTTATACATAATATTGGAGACCAATGTTTTCTAATTGAGAAATAATTATACATGTAATTTGCGAATGGAAGTGTTATTGGCACTCCAAAAATCTCATTCTAAACTCCTCATAAGTGTATTTTTCTTTTTAAATATGGAAAGTTTGGAGTGTAGAATGAGATTTTTAGAGTGCCAATAACAATTCCCTTTGCGAATGGTTATAGGATTACGATTGACAAATAAAGAAAAGCTAATTAATTAATAATTACCTGAAAGTATGCGTATGCAGTTGGCAGGAAAACCGAAGGTTTTAGTCAGCAAGTTTTCCATGTTTTTCACATCATTATAAATGCCTTTGAGCTTGCATTTATGTTGCTTGTATGTCACCCCGCAAAGAAGTGCACGCCTGTTTGGTCGTGATCCACTGCATACTGGCTTGTCCGAGCAGGAGGAGGGCAACGACATCAGCGTCCCTGTCCCTGTCCCTGTATAAGCTAGATTGCTTGAAACTATGACGACTTGAATTACTAGTACTAGAAGAATTGTTTGATGATGATTCCTTGGTTTGAAAACACCTACCAATTTGCCATCTCTGGAAGCTATGACGCTCACCTTTGTGATCTCCACGACCACGAACACTAGTTTCTCGTTGTGTTTCTGCAGCAGCACCGCGAGTCGTGAGTACATGACCGCAGACGCATCGGTGCCGTGTGCCATACGGCGTCATTTGAACCCATTGCTTGCAACTAGGGCAAGCGACTGTTTTGCTTGCCATAATTGCCTATGTATAATATATATCAAAGGCTACAAAGCCAGTTAAGTAATATCAATATATAGAAGCGTAGCTATATAGGGAAGCATAATACGTCGAGCTTTCTTATCATCTGGGATTTTTAATAATTAATTGTCAAAACCAACAATGGTAGAGACGTTTTGGTCCTTTGAGTTAGAGAAATTTTTCACTGTGACGGGAACATAAGTGGTACACCACGTGTTTTTATATAAGTAATAGGAAATTTTATTTTTTAAGTGATTAATTTTTTAACTCATATCCTACAATTTGTATAATGATACCGAATACACCACCCTGTGTACTAGTCACACTAAAAAACCCCGTGTACTAGTTACACTGGAAAATCTCTCACTGAGTTGAGCATCTTCATTTTATCAAATATATCCCTAGCCTTATTTAAAATGTGGGAGATCAACCGATCAAAGAAATTTTGGATACAATTTGATACCTAGAAAGTTTGAGACGCAAGCATTGAAAAGAAAAGCTCTAACCACTTGTTAGCTAATGTAATGTTCATCTTCACATTAATATGACATTCATTCTTAACACAGGTCAATCCACTACATATTGCAAAAAATTAATACATTTTAATTTAAAGGTACAGTGTACGATAATTCACATGTCCAATCAAATAGCAGTGTATGCATGGACCATGCTTCTTTTTTTATTCCAAGTCATGTAATAAAAGTATGAATTAGATGCCCTACGAAAGACGAGCCACTATCATGGGATTCTATTTACTTTAATTCATACTTTATATTTTTGGGGGAATGGCCGATAAAAACCGATCTCTATATATCAGTCAACATATTCGCCCATGGTTTGCTTGTTTGTGGAATTGTTTTTTCTTTTCATCCATTGAAAAAAAATGTGTTGACATCACTCACCTTTTTAATTTAAATCAATTCAAATTTTATTTGGCATAGTCAAGAAATTACATAGGGCATGCATGCCAAACGTAAGTTTCAAATAAAACTAAGGTCGAGTTATCCGCAAAATTAAACCGACAAAATTGTGCTAAAGCAGGTTCTAGAACCTATTGTTAGACAAATAAGGAATATGGTTGGAGTCCTTATGTAATTGTATATAATATTATTCACTAGCCGTCCTACAGCCGTCAAGCCGTCCTACAGCCGTCCTACCTTGTCCTACCTACACACTAGCCGTCCTACAGCCGTCAAGTCGTCCTACAACCGTCCTACCTTGTCCTACCTACACACTAGCCATCCTACAGCCGTCAAGTCGTCCTACAGCCATCCTACCTTGTCCTACCTACACACTAAGACGGCTACCTTGTCCTACCTACACACTTGTATCATGTATATATATCCTTGTAATCTTGTAGAGAAAGATAATGAGAAAAAAAACATTCTCTTCCATTTTTCCACATTCACGTATCAATAACAAATATATTTTGTAGCCAACATGCCTTTTTCTACATGGTATACAGAGCAGGTTTATAACCCTAGCCCTAATTTTTTTTTTTTCGGCAGCTTTCTCTGCCGTTCCCATGGCTGACTCTTCTTCTTCCGATGGTGTTTTTTCCCTTCATCATTCCGACCACCCGAATCTTATCCTTGTATCCAAGAAGTTGAATGGTGATAACTACACATCCTGGGCCCGTGGCATGCAGCTTTCCTTGAGTGCCAAGAATAAACTTGGTTTCATCACTGGCGATATCCAAGAACCTTCTTCCTCCGACGACCCTGATGCTCACGCGGCTTGGCGTCGTTGCAATGACATGATTCTCTCTTGGCTTCTGCATTCCTTGGAACCTGACCTTTAAGAATCTGTGCTTTTTTCCACCTCTGTCCAAGCTGTATGGGATGATCTTCGCGAACGCTTCTCTCAGAGTAATGCTCCACGCATCTTCCAACTCAACCGGGAACTTGCTACAATTTCTCAAGGTTCTTCTTCTATCTCCGCCTATTTTACTCGCCTGAAAGCTCTCTGGGATGAGCTTGCTTCTTATAATGATGGATGCACGTGCTCTTGCAACGCTAAGCATGACCGTCAACAACTCATGCAATTTTTAATGGGCCTCAACGAATCCTTTGCTGCTGTTCGTGACCAGATTCTTTTAATGAATCCCCTTCCCACTGTTCGTCAGGCCTGTTCCTCGGTGTCTCAAGCTGAAAAACAACGCTCCCTGGGCGTCCTCCGCTCTGTCGATCAACCTGCTGCCATGGCTGTTCGTGGCCCGTCCCGTCCCTCCTCTGCTCGTCCTCCCCTCCACTGCACCTACTGCAATTTTGATTATCATACCCGAGACACCTGCCATAAACTTCATGGCTATCCCGTTGGCCATCCCCTCCATGGCCAACCGTGGCGACCACCGCGCGGTGCCATTGCTTCCAGTTCTTCCCGCAGCCATGCACCTTCCAGTCCTCCCCGGCATCCAAGGTTTTCTGCTTCCCGGCCCCATAATTTCACCCAGGCCCATCACGTGCAAAGCACCCAGGCCCCCGCCTCTTCTTCTACTCCAGCGACCCACCAAGTGCACGAGGCCCAGCCCACTTTGCATGACTTGCAGCTTGCCATGCCTGACCTCTCTGCCGAGCAGCACTCCCGTGTTCTAGCTGCTCTACGTGACACCACCACCCCTCCTCAGGCCAATGTCGTGCTCACTACTGATTTTGCCCAAGGTTTGTTACCTGTCACCTCTCGTCATGGTCAATGGATTCTTGACAGTGGTGCTACGGATCATATTACTTCTTCCGCCTCATGTTCGGTTAATCGTTCTCCTTCACATTTTCCGCCTGTTTCTTTGCCTAGTGGTGCTTCCGCTCCCATTACTTTTACCGGCACTCTTCCTTTAAATTTATCAGTTACTTTGAAGGATGTTTTATGTGTCCCTAATTTCCGAGTGGACCTTTTATCGGTTGGTAAACTTACAGATGGATTATCGTGTTCCATAACCTTCTTTCCTTCTTGGTGTGTTTTGCAGGACTTGGTTTCGAAGGCGATGATTGGTGTGGGTAAGCGACGTGACGATCTGTATTACCTTGTGGCCCTTACCTCTTCTCTCCCCACCCGTCAACCTCTCTGCAACATCATTACCATCCCCTCCTCCTTCTGGCATAGGCGTCTTGGTCACCCCTCCTCCACTCGTTTGCAAGCTTTAGCATCTAGCTCTCTTAATTGTACTTTTGATTCTAGTCATATTTGTGATGTTTGTCCGTTGGCAAAACAAACTCGTCAACCTTTTCTTTTGAGTTCAATTTCATCAACTTTCCCTTTTGCTTTAATTCATTGTGATATTTGGGGCCCAAATCGTCAATCTTCTCTTTCTGGTGCTCATTATTTCTTAACCATTGTGGATGATTTTTCTCGCTTTACGTGGGTCTTCCTCATGAAACATAAATCCGACACTCAACAATTAATTAAGGATTTTTTTGCTTATGTCACTACCCAATTCTGCACTACCATCCAATGCATTCGTACTGACAATGGTGGTGAATTTTTATCTCTTCGTAGTTTTTTCTCTGATCATGGGGTGCTTTTACAAACTTCTTGTGTTTATACCTCCCAACAAAATGGCGTTGTTGAAAGAAAACATCGTCATCTTCTTGAAACCGCTCGCGCCCTTCGTTTTCAATCCCATCTTCCTATCAAGTTTTGGGGGGAATGTGTTCTTACCGCTACTTATCTCATCAATCGTCTCCCTACCCGTCTTCTCCATCATAAATCCCCATTTGAGGTTCTCTTTTCGAAAACCCCATCTTATGACCACTTCCGCGTCTTTGGTTGTCTGGCATATGCCACCTCTGTCATTCCCACCACCAAATTTTCCCCTCGGGCTCATCGTTGCATTTTTCTCGGTTATCCTCATGGACAAAAGGCCTATACCCTTTACGATCTCGACAATCACCGCATTTTCATTAGTCGAGACGTCATCTTTCACGAAACCACTTTCCCTTATGCCGTTTCTCACCCTCCTATCTCATCCTCTTCGCCTACCCTACCCATCCCACCCCCTCTGGACTTTACATATAACCCACCCCTTCCTGCCCCGACGCCTCACCCTCATCCACCTTCCTCCCCTTCCACGCCTCCCACAGATTCCCTTGCTGCCCCATTACCCGTTCTTCCCCATGCCCCTTTACCCACGGACATCCCTACCCCCCCCCCCCACTACCTACCAATCCTCCCCTTCCCCGCACCTCTTCCCGTGCCCATAAACCTCCATCCTATTTAAAAGACTAGTTTGCTCGCAGGTGATTCTGCCATCCCACCCATCTTCGACTTCGCAACCCGGTTCTACACAAGGTACGCGATATCCACTTTGTAATTTTCTCTCTTATCACCGTTACTCTCCCAGGCATTTTTCTTACATTAACTCTGTCAGTCGGACTATGGAGCCTTCCTCCTTTGCCGAGGCTGCCACTGACCCCAATTGGCAACGTGTTATGACTGAGGAGCTTCAAGCTTTACATGCTAATGGTACTTGGACTTTAACTTCCTTGCCCCCTGGCAAAATTCCCATTGGTTGTAAGTGGGTGTACAAACTCAAGCACAATTCCGACGGCTCTATTGACCGCTACAAAGCTCGTTTGGTTGCTAAAGGCTTCACTCAGGCTGAAGGTATTGATTATCATGACACTTTTTCTCCTACTGCTAAGATGATTACGGTGCGTTGTCTTCTTGCTCTTGCTGCTAGTCAATCTTGGTCTCTTCATCAGCTTGATGTTAATAATGCTTTCTTACATGGTGACTTACATGAAGAAATCTATATGTCTCCTCCTCCTGGTCTTCGGCGACAGGGGGAGAATCTTGTGTGTCGCCTTCACAAGTCACTTTATGGTCTTAAGCAGGCTTCTCGCCAATGGTTTGCCAAATTCACTAGTGCTATCATTTCTGCCGGTTTTCAACAATCCAAAGCTGACTATTCATTGTTCACTAAAAAGTCTGGTATTTCTTTCACAGCTTTGCTCATTTATGTGGATGATATTGTGATTACAGGCAATGATGCTAGTGCCATTAATTCTCTGAAGTCTTTTCTCCGTGATCATTTTCGGATAAAAG